CAGAAATTTATCACCATCCTTATGATAATCAATCCATTTGAGCCTTCACTGACATTTTTTATGATTAAATCCTCATTTATAATTATATGAAATATGTTGCTAGCCAGAAAAACATTTCTAAACTTTTACTCTTGGTTTTACTTGAAAATAAAACCAAAATTTTACTACAATAAAATATAACATAAAATCTTGTTCTTCTGTATTCTGCTGAGAAATATCTGATTCTTTTTTATTTTTATTTATTTTTATTTTTTAGATATAAGGTCTCACTCTGTGCATAGGCTGGAGTGCAGTGGTGTGATTAGAGCTCACGGCAGCCTCAAACTCCTCAGCTAAAGGATTCTCTCACTTCACTTCAGCCTCCTTAGTAGCAGGGACTACAGGGGCATTGATGTCATCACATTTGACTAATTTGTTTATTTTTTGTAGAGACTGGTTTTCACTAAGTTGCTCAGGCTAGTCTTAAACTCCCGGACTCAAGTGATCCTCCTGCCTCAGCCTCCCAAAGTACTGAGATTACAGGCATGAGTCACTGCAACCAGCCTGATTCTTGATCTCTTCTTTATCTCTTTGAGTTTTATAACATTTCTTTGGTCTCTGATATTCTTAAACGTCTATATAATGTGTCTGAGTGTGACGAATTCCTCCCACTTTATCTGTTTTCTTTGGCTCCCTTTGAGCCCTTTTTGAGTATTTCATCTTTAACTCAGTGCAATTCTTGATCATTAATTCTTCAAATATTTCATTCCTTCTGTTCATTTTTTTCCATCTCCTTTTAGAGCTCCAACCATACATATAATTACCCTTTTATTTCCATACGCCGTGTTACTTTGTTTTGATTTTACACTCCCCTCTCAATTTATTATTCTTCATACCTCTGAGTTCGGGTTCGTTAGTTCTTCATCAGCAGCTGCACCATTCTGCTGCTTAACCCAATGGTTGAGTACTTTATTTCACCTAATTTAAAATGCATATTTCAGAAGCCAAAGGGAAATCAGACTTTTCCTCACCCCAGGGCCTGCCAGCGAGGACAGGCATATGACCTAGAATTATTCAACCAGAGGCTGTCCCCCAGGATTTCAGGCCTTGGAGTTACGATCAAAGGGACACATTCACAAAGGTACTGTCAAGAACAGTTGAAACGGGAGCGATGGTACCAGCATTAGTCCCTGTCATATGACTTGGTTGCATTCACTGTCATTTAACCCCTCTTGATTCTCATTCTGAGGATGATTCTCCAACCTTCACATTGATTCCATGATATAGTCAATTTTCTCAATTGCCTTCCAATAAACTTAGTTCCTCCTTACTAATAAAACAGATGATGCAAGTTGGGATATGGAAGAAGTGCAGGAAAGGTGAGTCATTTCTTCCTTCTACATTTCTTCACTCATTCTACATTCCTTCACTCATTTCTTCCTTCTACATAATTAGGGCTCTATAGATACTGTCATAAGTCATGGTTCAAAGAAAAAGTTGAAAACACATTACTTGCAGCTATAAAACGAATGATTGGAAGAATGACAAACAAAAAATCAATCACATTTAGAAGGAAACGGATTTGGGGTTAAAGGAGATAATCTCCAAACCCTGATGAATGAGATGTAAAAACTATAGTACATCTGGGGAATGACCCATCTGAAGCCCAACCTCCAGCAGTATGCAACATGTAATAAACATACACCTGTACCCCCGAATCTAAATTTTTTAAAAAGCTGTAGTTCAAAGTTGATAAACTAAGTAAGAGAAGCAAAATATTATTATTTAGAGTTGCAAAAATAACTACTAGAAGAACTAAAACAAATGATAAAATAAAATTCTATCCAGGCAATGGGAATAAAAATAAAAAGTGGAATGGGAAATGGTTGCTGTTCATTTCCTACCTTTCTGTACTGTTTGAGTCATGTTTAGCCATACTCACATATCATATTTTTAACATTTTAAATCTCCTCTAGGCTGTACCACCACAGAGTATACCACATAATTGAATGGAGGCTATTAATATTTGCACGTGCACACCCACTCACCCACCCCCCCAACACCCACACACACGTGCACAGGGTCCAGCTGCAATTCTGAGAATGCAAACTATAAAAGATTTAATTACATGGGAATAGATACAAGAGCACAGATTTGCCTACAGATTTGTTTTCTTGGCTAAAACACAAAGCAGCCTCCACCCATCAAAAGCTACATCACGTACAGAAAAAGAAAGTCAAATCTCAAAAGGTGACTTGAAAAATGTAAGGTTTTTTCTTGTTTTATTGAGGTATAACAGACAACTTAAAAATGCTTATATTTACAGTAAACAACATGATATTTTGATATATGTATACATTGTGAAATAATTGCCACATTAAGTTACTTAACACATTCATCTTGTCAGAGTTATCTATTTTAATTGTAGCAAGAACATTTAAGATATAATTTCTTAGCAAATTACAAATATATAATACAGTTTTATTAACTGCAGTCACTATGCAGTACATTAAATCCCCAGAATCCATTCATCCTGCCTAATTGAAACTTTGTATCCTTTGATACACATTTCCCCACTCCCTGTATCACCCCCCAAAGTCCCTGGCAACCTACATCCTACTCTGCTTCTATGAATTGGATTTTTAAAAATTCTACATATCAGTGAGTTTGTACAGTATTTGTCTATCTGTGCCTGGCTTAACTCAGTTAGCACAATATCTTCCAGCTTCATCCATATTTTTACAAATGACAGGATTTCCTTCTTTTTAAAACTGAATAATATTCATTATATATATAATATTCCATTATATAATGGACTATTATTCCATTATATAATTCCAATATATAAAATGGAATATTATTCAGCTCTTTAAAAAGAGGAAAACACATATATAATATGCATATAACATTTTCTTTCTCTGTTCATGTGTTGATAGAAACTTAGGTTGACTCCATATCTTGGCTATTGTTTTGTCCCTAAGAAAAGGAGGTCATAGAAACTTTGATCTGTTGTTATTTTTCTGTTTTTGCTTTAATTCAATAGCGTTAGGGCTACAAGTGGTATTTGGTGACATGAATGTATTGTATAGTGGTGAAGAAGCACCCAGACATCGCACTAATACCAAACGTGAAAGGTCTGCTGCTTATTTCATCTGTTTAAAAATATCATGAACTTGAGCATTCCACAATCCAACCCTAGTATAGAGTCTTACAAGTAAGAACAATAAGATACTTAAGGTTACTGGAAAGAGTACATGATTTGGAGTAAAAAAATCTGGGACTGTTCCATCTGTACCATTTACTAATTGATAAACTTGAGCAAATCATCACTCCAGCCTGACACTTGTCACCTGTAAAATGGGAATAAAGTTATTAACTGTATAAAGTTGCTACTTAAAAAAATAATAATAATGAACTATATACAAGATTGCCTGATAAGATGTAAAGGCCAATACAAATGTTAAGTACTGTTATCATATTGCAGTTGGTCATAAAAGCATCTGTTAAAAAAAAAGTAATGGCATAATGAAGATTCATCCTACTATAAAAATACAACTAAGAAGCACCTGTCTATTTAAAAAGAATGATTATTGTCATTACTAGAACACAACAGATAGTATACCTCACTGTGACATCAGCTGAGCCAGTCTCCCCAGAACGATGACCAACATCCACACACATGTACCTCAATTGACAACTTTGAGTAAGAAAAAGATATGTAGTTGAGAGACCAGATTAATGAAAGTAGATTAACATGGTCAATAACAAGTGAAAAAAAATCTTTACGTACTCTGATTATTGTCCTTTGGATTCCAGATCCCCTAGAACTGAACCAAAAGAAACGTGTTCAAACAAGACTAAAAAGAAGGCTGGGAAAGTACATTGGGAGAGCGACAGGAATAAAAAGAAGGGAAGGGCAAAGCCAGTTCTGTTTCTTTGTTTTTACGTAAATGTACTATATTTGTTTAACCAATTGCCTATCACTGTATTCTTAAGCTGTTTCTAATTGTTCACCTTTACAAATACTGTTTCAGTAAATATTCTAAGCTAGCTCATTAAGAAGGTAGCGCCATGCAAAGGAAAGAACACTGGACCAGAAGTCAGGAAACTGAGCTCTGGTCCCCGCACCACCACAGGCTCTCTATGGAACCCTGGGCAGGCCACTGCCCCTCGCTGGGCCTCAGTTTCTTTATCTATAATACAAAGGAGGAATTGTAAGACTATTGAGCATGGTTAATCAATCATTTAGAAAATATGTATTGTGTTTATTATGCGATAGGCAGTGTTCTAGTCACAGGTACCTAGGTAAAAGCAAAAACAGACACGGGTCCTACTGCCATGGACTTGACATTCTAGATGATCTCCCTCCAACTCAAAGACCTGACACACTAAAACTCTGACTGCAGGCTGTGGAGAGGCCAGAGTAGACAGTCAAAATGCCTAAATGACCAAGGAGAAGGCACAACCTCTTCAAGAGCAGCATTCTTTTTGAAAGCAGAAGAAGTATACCTCACCCCCATTTTGTCCCACTCCAGGTCCTAGGCATTGGAGTTTAATACAAATCATGGCAGACAACTAACTTTTATTCTGAAGGGCAAGTCTAAAATTCAAAGAAACTTCTCAAAAATCAAAAATGTTTTGTTTTCTTGTTCAACTATCTAACCAGGCCTATTACAGTAGAGAAACAGAAAAATTATTTGAAACTTTTTTTAAAAGCATGTCTAAAATGACTAACATTAATAGATAGGTGAAATTTCATAAAAAATAATGATCACTATATTAATTGTTCCTAACATTTGTTTTCTATAATAGGAAAAACACAACTTATATAGTTAATGTAAAAAAATTAATCAATTATTTGCAGTATATATATTTATAGAAAGAATATAATATCTCTTTTACCAACATAAAGCCTAGCATCAAATTGTAGAATATGTTAAAATAATGTATTTGCATTGGCAAAGATAAATGCTATTGGGTTTTGTTCTGTATTTCCCATTGCCCATTCATTGAATTGGTGCCAAAGAAGAAAAATCTTAAAAGACATGAAAGTCAACTCCCTTACAGAGAGCTGTCAAAACAGTACCTCAAAAGATTATCTTGACCACACCTTTCTCCCCAGATCATGGACCCCGGCATCTCCAAGCACTCGCTGTCTTCTGCAGGATTCTCTGACAAGTCTGTTTCACTCTAGGAATCCCCATGATCAATATGAGAGAATGAAGAGAAGGATAGGCAGCCATGAGTGTCTCAGAGATGAAGATTCTGGTTAGATTAACAGGAGAAGTCTTGGAGGTGATGGAGAAGGGGCTAGCCACAACATAAACCAGGTAGAGTATAAGAAAGCAGCTCAAAGACTTCAAGGCAGTGATGTGAGCCTGGGCTCGAGCATCCCTCCTACCAGCTGAATGGACTTTCATCTTTCTGTGGTGTCTATACAAAGAGACAATCAGCATCCCAGAGGGAACAAGAAACACCATGAAAGGTAACCAACTTCCTGCATTGAGCTTAAATATATAAAAGTAGTGCCAGCTTGAATGGGGGTACAGAATGCTGCTGTTTCCCTGGGAAACATAACAGGATGCGAAGCCAATTCGGGTTATAAGTAACACATTGATCATAAAGTACCACAGAAGGCACCACAGACTCAGTTTATAGGCCCTCTGCTTCAGCCATGAGTAGGCAGGGTGCTCAAGGGTCGTGATCTTCTTGCAATAGAAGACACTGAGAAAGCTGGCAAACCACAGACTGGCCTGGCTTACCAGGATCCAGAAGATACTGAGATAGCGGAGCCAACGGCTGCTCTGAAAAAACGGGAAAAGGCTTAAGTCCAACATGATCAGCCACTGTAAGAGAAACCGACAGCCAGCCAGGCCCAGGACAATGAAGTTATATGAGGACCCTTTGAATTTTCTGATCCATTCTCCAAAACTCCAGACAACAAGGACTCCATTTCCGACCAGGCCAATGAGAAATTCAGCCACCGCTACCAGCATCAACAATCCTAGGGTGGCAGTCAGCATGGCTGGGGAGGGGAGGCTCTCACTGCTCCTGGCTAAGGTCAGATCCTCCGGTAGTGATAACAACCAGGGTAAATTTTCACACCACAAGATCCAGCTTTAACCTTGTCCTTCTGTAACCTGTCTTCAAGCAGAGACTAAGCAGCTGTGACCAGGAATAGAGAGATTAGAAATTATGATCCTCTCTGTATTTGCATCTCCGTGAATGAACCCTGAGTCTAGACTCAGAAATAGAAACAGAACCACAGACACTGGCTCTCCATCTCAAAGGTCATGGGCTGAAATCTAAATACCAGTATATGATATAACTAGACCTTTCAACAAAAAAGATCAAATCAAAACATGCTCAGGTTCGATACTGAGCCAGATATGAGTTCATATGCTGTTAAAAAAAAAAAAATGTTATTATCATAAAAAGAACATTGAACATGTGGGTATGAAAGCCCAAGAATCTCAGAAGTCAAAAACATATTTCATTATCAAAGGGAGAAGTAGGGGAAGTTTGGGGGCAGGGGGAAGAAACATTAAGAAAGTCAAAACATACTATATTTAAGTGCCAAGCCAGAAAAAATACAGGTCAGGTAGAAGAGCCATGACTGTCAACCAAGGTATTTAAAGCCGTTTGCCATTTATGGCCAAGTATCCATGCATACTTGTCTTAGTATGTATCTCACATCATAAGCTCAAAGAAAAAAGCCCAGTTATCAAGAAATGTAAGAAAAGTACTTCATTTATTGTCCTTCAGATGACAACTTCCCTGAGACCAACCCAGTATAAAATATGTCTGTGACAGGCTGAAATCTAAAACAACCTTCAAGATTCCCATCACCTGGTATACACACCCTGAATAATCCTTAGGTGTGAATGGGACTGTTAGTAACATGGAATTCACTTCTGTGATTAGGCAAAGTTGAATGGCCTTTGCAGAGAGAATTAAGGTACCAAATCAGTTCATTTTTGAGTTAATTTAAAAGGAGATTAACATGAATAGGCCTGACTTAATCAGTTGAAAGCTTTAAAAGAGGGACTAGGCCTTACCTGAAGAGAGAGACCCTCTTGCTGACCTTTAAGTATCCAGCTACCATGTCATAAGAAGGCCCATGCCAAGAAAATGCAGGAGGCCTTTAGATGCTGAGTAGCCTCAGGCTGACAGTCAGCAACAAAAGGAGACCTCAGCTTAGAAGAGGACCTCAAACTTCAGAAAGGAATGAAGCTCAGCCACCATCTTGGTTACAGTTGTGACAGCCTGAACAGAGGACCCAGTTTAGCTATGGATCCACTCTAAATCCACAGGAACTGTGACACAAATGTACATTTTAAACTGCTGGGTTTGTATTGCTACACAACAAATAGAAAACGTGTACAGTGTTGAAGGGAGGCTGATGATGCCTGTGAGGAAATACAGAGAAAGAGCAATTGGACTGGAAAGAAGGAAGGAAGGCCGGGCTAGTCTCTCAGGGAGGCAGTATGGGTGTGGAGGAAAGAGTACTGTACCAGGAAACAGGAGACCTGGAGTCTGGGCCCAGCACTGCCTCAGACTCCCAATGAAGCTATGGGCAGGCCACTATCCCTCTTGCGGTCTCAGTTGCTCTACGAATAACATAATGGGATGTAGGACTAGATTTTCATTCCTTTAGTAAGATTTATAGAGTGCTTACTATGTGCCAAGAAACAGTGTATTAGGCACAGGGGCAGGGCTGGGAACAATACACAGTCCCTGCTTTCAGCGGGGACATTCATTCTGTACCATTGCCACCCAGTTCCAAGAGCTAGAGCCCTAGAACTATGGCTGCAGGCTGTGGAGAGGCAGAGAAGCTCACCATCTTCCACTGGTCAGAAAATCTGCATGAGGCTTGCACCTGTCCAAAAGCAATACTTCCTAGGCAACTTTTTCATAGAGACATAAGTGCCTCTCTCTCCTCATCTGCCCCAATCCACCCTGGGAAGCAGAACTTGCTACAGATCATGGTGGCTGAGTCCGGACTCAAAACATAAAATCTCTAGAAAGATAAAGATAAGTTTTTGACAGACTATTTTACCATGGGCATAAAGAGGGCTAAACCACAGATAATTGAGGGAATCATTTAATTAAACTAAGAAAAATGCTTTCATAAAAAATATACAATTAATGTACAGGTTCCCCTTTTTAAAAAACACATATTATTTTTAAACTACAATTATTTTCTGCTTTGTTTAATCAGAGTGACAAAGTCAGTACATTGGCAAAAAAAACCAAACTGGGTTATCTGTAATAATTTAGAAAAAGTTGATATTTTCCATGCAAAATATGAAAACCCAGTTCTCTGATAAGTCTTAATCTTCATGGCAATGACCAAAGAAGAGAAGGAAGTGTAGGCAACCATGAGAGGTGTAGTGATGGAGATGACAGATAGAAAAGAGGCTAGCCAAGGCAGCAACCACGTAAAGAAAGAACTTCAGAGCAGGATGAACCTTGGCTCCAGCATCCTCCTTACAGCTGTGTGGTCCTTCATCTTCCTGTGAAGACAAAAAGACAATCAGCACACTGGTGCAGAAACACCACACTGGTGCAGAAACACCACACATGGCAATCAGCTTCTTGCACTGGACTGTAATTTATAAAAATAACACAGACTTATAATGGGGTGCAAGATGCTACAGTTTCTTGTTATTGTTTTTTTAAAGCCTCAAGCCAATAAGAGCTAAGAAATTAAAAGAGATTTTGAAAGACACTAGAAGAAACCAAAATCCCAGCCTCCAAGCTGTCTTCTTCAGCCACAAGAAGTCAGGAGGCCAAGGGTCATGATCTTCAAGCAGTAAAAACCACTGAAGAAAGCTGTTGGGAGCCGGCCGTGGAGGCTTGCCTGAGCGTTAGGGATCCAGGAAGGCTGCGGACCCTGAGACTGCTAGGACGAGTTCAGGAGCTGAAGGCCCATTGCCTCTTCCCTTCTTTGCTGTTTTGGCACATTCCACTAGCAGGGACTTTGATGATCTAAGCTTGAAGTTCTGAGAATACAACAGGCATGGCTTACTTTAGGAGTCCATTGTTCCCGTTTCTCACAGACTGCGGTTTCAGCTTTAAACTTAGCATAATTCAAACTCAGGTCACATTTGGGAGCCTTTAATATGGTACAAGCTTCTTTAAAGATTTAATAGTATATTTGTAGAATTAGTATATACATACAAAGTGCTGTTTCAACCTTAATAATACAGATAAATATCTAGAGCTACTAGAAACGGCCCAGCACAAGTTTTGGGCTGGGCCACATTCTAAAGGCCAAGCACGAGCTTTGGGCTGGGCCATATTCCTTAGGAATTGATTTGGGCTATAATTAAGAGTTTCTATAGTGTAGATAGAATTAGCATAAAATAGAGAGGAATTGGGATTTAGGTTGGTTATTAGGTGTTGCGTATGCATAGGATTTAAAAGTTATTGATTATTAGAATATTATGATATTAGAATTGTTGTACTGCTTTTGAGAAATATTAACCAAGCATAAGAAACAGTGAAATAGTTTTGGGATCCTCATTCCTCATGCTTGGGGAAACACCTGGTGGGTGGGGGCCGCACCTCATCCACCTGGTTCTATGTTCATGTAAATGTCTTGTGATTTAATTGGGATTGCCCTTCCTCTTACTCCAGGAAACACCTGGTGGGTGAGGGACGCCTCTCATTCACCTGGCTTTGTGTTCACGTAAAAGTTTTGTGATTGTTCTTCCTCATACCTGAGGAAACACCTGGTGGGTAGGGGGCACCCCCTCCTGCACCAGGCTTTGTGTTCACATGGAAGACTTGTAAGACTGCCTGTGTAAAATTTGGGATAAATTCAAGCTGTAAACTCCCAATAAACGGCTTCTGGTCAATCCGTTGAACAGATGTCCACTTTCTTTCTTTCTCTTTATATCTATCCCTCCTTCTTTCTTTCTTTTAATATCTATCCTTATAGAAACATCGATACCATCACACCTTCCAAGGGACCCCCTAAATCTCTTTTTGGGGGCTGGCTCCCCAAAGAAAGCGGCAACCCACAGGCTGATCTGGCTTACCAGCACTCAGAAGACTTTCTGGAAAAGTGAAAAACAGGCTACAAAGTCTAACATAATCAGTAGAGAGAAGGAGAAAGTAGCCAACTGCCATGTCCAGGACAATGAGGATTTATAGAGACCTGTTATATCCAGATCACAAGGACTCCATTTCCAACCAAATCAATGAAAAAAACACAGCCACTGCTACCAGGATCAGCAATCTTAGGGTAACAGCCGGGGTGACTGAGGAGAGTAGGTTCTCACTGCTGAACCAAGAGCTACCCTTCTTCATTGCAGATGTAAAAATGCAGCTTCTGGCTGAGGTCAAGATTCCTGAGGGTGCTATCAGTATTATGGTAAAACACTTCACTTCTCAAAACTCAGATGCTATCACTGTCTGAAATCAGTTCTCTGGCAAAGATGTCACAGCTGTAAACAGTAGAAATATTCCTGAGGGTGAGTCCCACCTTCCTTTACATCTACACGAAGCTAGCTGGGATCTGAGATTAGATACAGAGTCATAGCTGCAAACTGTCCTTCCAAAGAAAGGAACTAAAATCCAGAGACCCAACTCCCATCCAACCTAACTTCACAAAACCTAAATAAAACATTCTGAGAATCTAGAGTGGCAAAGGCAAGGCACTTCATGTTATAAAAGGGAAAGTATGACATTTATCAATTATTTGACAAATACTAAATGACTGTTACGTGCCAAGCCCCTGCCCAACGTCCTGGAATACAGTGTGAAGGGAACAAAGTCCTGCTCTCATGGAACTCACATCTGGATGGGAAAAGCAAGGAATTAATACTTTTAACATGTTTGTAACTTGAACATATAAACATGAGAGCTGTATTTATACATATACAGAGGCTTATTACAAAGGCAGGGCAAACAACGGGAAGGATAGAGTGAGAAAACAAGCAAAAACAAACAATCGACAATAAATATTAACTGCTGAATATAAACTCTAGGAGAGGTAAACAGGAGAGAAATCTTTGAAGCAGTGACTCCTTCATTTCCACACAGAACTGTTCAACCTACCAACCCCCAAGGCAGTAGCTGCAATGAAGGTGTTAATATGGAGAGTAACAGCCTCAGTGCTTTCAGGTTTACCAAAGCTATTGCTTGGTTTTTAC